ATTCACCTCCTAAAAGATTACTCTTCTAAGTTTAGTTGGACTTGAATTTGGTCCCTTCGAAATCAAAACTCTTGGAAGGAGAAAATCAAATTGAAGTGCCTATAAAGGCAATTGAAGTTCAAAAAGGTTGAGTCCTATGTGGCTAACCGCCTCGGCAAAAGTTGAAGAAGCCAAGGTACCCCAAATGCTCTGAAATTAAAGTTGGAAGAAAGAAGCCAGAAAAGAAAGTCCTACAAAGGCGAAATAAAGTTGGAAGAGGTTAAGTCCCACACGACTAGCCGTTGTAGCAAAGTTTGAGGAGCCAAAAGTTCCCCAATGTTCCAAAGAAAAAAAAAGAGAAAAAAGAAAAGAAATTTAAGAAACATTTAGAAGGGCATGTTTCTGGAGGAGAGAAACAAACCTCGCCTTCCCTCCCTCCTTCACTGCCGCAACCAATAGGTAAAAGCCGAGAATTAATGGGGAAAACTGAAATGCTTAAGCTTGTCCTCTGTATTTTCAGGAAGGTTNCAGCCCAAGGCAACCGTGCAAAAGCAGGTGCAACCAAAAGAAAAGCTGCGCAAAAGCTAGAAACAGCTTTGCAGTAACAATCAACCCAAAATGAAAGTTTTCCTCCAAATTCTTTCTTGCATTTTATTGAAATAAAATGAAATGAAAAAGGAAAATGAAAAAAAAAGAAAAAAAAAAAGAAAATCCAAAACAAAAATGATAGCTTAGGATTCTGAACCTCAATCTTTTACATTTTTACCAACATTAGGGCTCCAACCCCTGAGCTGAGCTTTTTTTTAGACATAGGGCCTGCATTCCCTAGTCGCCTTTTTACCAACATTAGGGCTCCAATCCCTGAGTTGAGTTTTTAGACATAGGGCCTCCACTCCCTAGTCGCCTTTTCACCAACATTAGGGCTCCAATCCCTGAGTTGATTTTTTAGACATAGGGCCTCCATTCCCTAGTCGCATTTTTACCAACATTAGGGCTCTAATCCCTGAGTTGAGTTTTTAGACATAGGGCCTCCATTCCCTAGTCGCCTTTTTTACCAACATTAGGGCTCCAATCCCTGAGTTGAGTTTTT